ACCAACAGTATTTTGTTACGTTTCTTCACAGAGGGGGGTTCGTTTGAACCCCCTGGATCCGCCACTGCTTTCCATTGACACCAATCATGACCATGTTTTATGTGGTGCGTCAGCCATCTTGAAATTCAGAATGGCGGACGATGACTTTGGGAAAAAAATGGCACCTACCTTTTTTGAATTCAGCGCAGTAAAAATGATAAAATTAGTCAATAAATCTATTTTTGCTCAAAAATCTATCTGGATTACATAGAAAACTAGCTTATGTATACTCGTTCTTATTTTATGTACATTTTAAGTAAGTATATTTTGCGATTATTTTTAAACAAATGAACACCTATTTTTTAATTATGTTCCATTCTTGCTTGAGTGACAGTAGTTTTTATATGTCTAGATTGTTGCCTGTCTAGAAATTATGAGTTTAGACACCAAAATCATATCTGTAGCTTATTTAGTTTCATTTTTTTGCACATTTTAGATAAATTTGGCGGCCATTTCGAAAAATGGCCGCCATTTGTATACAAGGAGTAAAATCAAGTGTCAACAGGGCTTAGGGTGACCAGAAGGGATTAATTAGGATATCTGGCTATGTGGATTGCTTCTAACATTCCACTCCCCCTAACTCATTCTTTTCAGATTTTTTTTCTAGTCTAGTACTGGATTTATCTCAATACAGTACACATAAAACATCAGTTTTCGGATAATCAATGAGTCGATTCAAGAAAAAAAGAATATTATATAAAATTCTTCATCTTTGTAGAGTAAAGTGAAATGATGGCAGTGGTAAATGTCTAAAAATTTGTATTCACCTTAAACAGGAAAAACCTGGTTCTTTCTTTCATCATCACTACTGCATTATGTGCACCACTACTGCAGCTATCCCATATATATCGGTGTAACGATGATATAATAAAAAAAAAGGGGGAAATCAAATTGAAACCCTTCGGGATTTGAACCCAATCACTCCGACATACCATATTGATAATCTGACCGAATGGGGGCCTAGTAGAATTAGAGCCATATCCCCATCGTCGGACATAAAATTATATAATCCGACATACAAGAAATATAATTGGACTCCTTCTGGATTTGGACCCGACACCCTCCAATCCCACTGGATCCAAGGCGGGTCTGTTTGGGTTGGAGCCATTCCATCGATGTAATGATGATACAATACAAAATGGTGAAAAAATCAAATTCGATCCCCGAGAAAAATGATAATTTATCAAAAATCTATAGATGATAACATGGATTGTGTATTATTAAAAAAGTGCAACAGAGTTTATGGACAGCTCATTTTATTACAAAGTGCGACAGCTCAGTTATTACAAAGTGCGACGATTTTTACAAAGTGCGACGCAACACACCACAACTGCAGGTGTTATTATATTTTATGTATTATTCCTTAGATGGGCACCGCTACTGCAGGTGTTATATTTTATATATTAATCCTTAAATTGGCACCGCTAACTGCACTATAGGCACCGCTACTGCAGGTGTTGTTATATTTTATACATTAATCCTTTGATGGGCACCGCTCCTGCTTTACGGGCACCACTACTGTAGGTGTTGTTATGAACACCCTACAATTAATATGGATATGAACAATATGAAATAATTGAGACAGGGCCGGTAATAATGTGTGTTTGTAGAATAATAATTGGTTATATTTTATTTATACATTAATCATTAGATGGGCACCGCTACTGAATTATGGGCACCGCTAATGCAGGTGTTGTTATATTTCATATATTAATCCTTAAATTTATTTATTTATTATTTATTTATTTATTCTTTATACTGTAGGCACTTTCAGTACTATTACACTGATTTTCAATGTGGTACAGTTTGAACATAACAAAAATATATACAATATAAAGAATTGTTTAACAAAAAATAAAAAGAACATAGGCACCGCTGCTGCAGTATGGGCACCACTACTACAGGTGTTGTTATGAACACCCTAAAATTAATATGGATATGAACAATATGAAATAATTGAGACAGGGCCGGTAATAATGTGTGTTTGTAAAATAATAATTGGTTCGTAGCCAAAGCGTCCTAGGCCTCTAGGGGCCAGACCTACATTTCCATATAAATTATAATATAATTCTTACCTAGACTTACTAGGCCTAGCCTATGCCCTACAGTAGAGCGGCAATGCGAGGTAATTTATTAATATTAGGTAAGGCTTTGGACTCAGCCGCCTTCATCCACATGACATGGCATGGGGCTGGCGCGGCTATATAGGCCATTGTGTAGGCCTCCTACTGCCGCTGGTGGTAGCTTCTGTTTATATTCTTTTGTACTACTTACAAGGTACAGTACATACAAAAAAAAATAGGCCTAGGCTAGGCATATATAATTTCACTTTGTTACTTTACACAAGCAAAAAAAAAGGTTCATGTGTAGGGTAGGCTAGGACAGCAGAAGTGTATGTTCACTGGACCTTGTCGACAATAACATACAGTGCTAGGTGAAATGAATATTAAATTTCTATTGCTACTTAATTATTCATGAACCTGCATTAGTGTCGCCCATATAACGCTTACCAGGGTTTTCCATCAAAATTCGATAAATTTGGCAATAGTTGGTCCAGAAAGAACCTTCGTCGTTTTTTCACTGCGCTCAGTCCCAAAATTGAAGGAAGGCCACAAGACATGAGTGCTGCTCATGCTTATCTCAACATTTCTTCCACAACAATTGATTTCAGGAAAAAAAGAACGAACGAACTTCGTGAACGTTATGGTTAGGTTTGCAATGCAATGTTAGAAATATTATTTAGTTTGAAGTTATGCTACTTATATATTATGTTTCTTGGATGTTGGTGAAGAAAAAGGTAAATTTGAATCATCTTTAATTTGCAATATTCGGACGGTGTAATTATTTCAGTGGAAGAAGTTATAAGGGACTACAGTATAGTTTGCCTCAAATATCAAATGTCTTCGATTCAGAAGTGACCAACACATTGCGCATACTACGTGTACTGACATTGAAATCCACACTGCTCATACTGCGTGTAATAATATTGAAATCCACAATGCTCATACTGCGTGTAATGATATTGAAATCCACAGTGCTCATACTGCGTGCACTGATATTGAAATCCACAATGCTCATACTGCGTGTAATGATATTGAAATACACACTGCTCACACTGCGTGTAATGAACTCAAAATCCACATCGCTCATAGTGCGTGTAATGATATTGAAATCCACCCTGCTCATACTGCGTTTAATTATGAGCGTAGACGTAGGCTGTGAGGAGACATGGATTATGATACCACTTACCACATTTTTTCGTTTGTGCTTATCCTGGCTTTCGTAAAAGCAGTGGCGTAACGACGAGTCACGGGGCCCGGTGGCGAGAAAGTGTTTAGGGCCATCTACTTTAGCAATCGATTACGAGAGACCACTTCATAGTGGAATATCAAAGAATTCCGTAGCGTGTTATATTCTCTGTGAATTCTAGTAGCCCTTCCTTTACAGGGACTTTATTATTTCTGAGTAGGCCTATTAAAATGTTTGTGCTTGATTCCAGCTGTGGAACATTTTGGGTCTGGAATTGATATTGTATAAAAGAAGGCGTTGCCATGTGAGTCCACTTAGGACATTCGTGAGTTAAAAGCGTAGTATTACACTGTTTTAATTTGCTAGTTTTTGGGTGTCTTCTACTGGACCATAATAACGTCAACCCTGCTAGAAAATTGCTGTTGGGTGCCCCCGGGGCCCCTTTGGACTGAGAGTTCATAGGCGTTACGCCACTGAATTTAAGGGATTTTATAGGGCATTTCATGTTAATACGGTAATAATAAGAACTCAATGATGATTGAATCTGGTTCTGTTTGGCACGAATATATCAAATGAAAGGTGTCCTCAGACATTTTAAAATTTATTTGACCTTCTACAACACTTACTGAAACTTAAATTACTAATAATAATATTGAATTACGTAACTTTCAAATTTTAATTTTAAAAACATCTCAAATTAAGAAATGTGACGAAAAAACCAGTGTTAAAAATGCATCATAATACAAAAATATATTTGTTTAAATGTAAGACTTATATAGTATTATATATTAGTATTAAACATAAAAGTGCTTCATTAAATTGTTTACGTGCTCACTATGTTGTGATGGTCAGTGGTTGCTCTGTTAAATTTAGCATAGGCCTATTATATAAAAATATATCAGGGCTGAGAAAGCAGTCTCACATGTTGGTACCGAAAGTTATATAGGCCCTATATTAAAGAGCTATATATGTATATGTATATTAATTAAAAAGTATATTAACCAATCAATCTCGTGCCTGCATATAGCCAATACGATTGCTGTGATGATTGTTATAAAACACACTGTCATACGCCGAATTTATGGGTTTTGTAGCTTGTGTCTCAAATTAGGTACATGGCTCTGTCAGCTCTTTATATTCGTTGAAGACCGTCTGCCACTCTTCCAATGCCACATACTTCCAGTCGTAATAACTGTTTCGCCAATCTTCTTCTAAATCTGGAAGATCATCTGGAATAAAAATTAAAATGATAAATTGATAAGGCAATCGAGATAAAAACACGTCAACCCTGTAATTTTTCACCTAACACTTAATATAAGGATTGTTGACTATCAGCCCACAGTATAACCAGTCCTACAGTCCTACAGACAGTTTTACATACTGTTGTCATACTTTGCCAAACCTTAGTATAACATATATGTAGTTTGCGTTTGTATGCTTCAGCAGGTAATTATTTCCAATAGCAAATCAGTCAAATCAATAGATACTAATTGAATTCTATGAATGCGTATTTTAATGTAAGTGAACCTTGTAGCATGGATGAATTAAACTAATTCCTCCATGGTAGTAACATTCTATTGTATCGGGAAGAGGAGGAACGCGCGTGTGCTTACCTGTGAAGAGAGACACCTTCGGGAGATAGTTAGCCCAGAAGGAGCATTCGCGTGCAGCAACTGCGCGGTCGTTTTCCATCTCTGGTGACAACTCCTTGTATTCCAGTCCAGGAACTGTGAAGAGTGGCCATGGCTCAGCTACGGTGGTCACATTTATCTCTGCCATGTTTGGATTACTGTAAAATCAAAATAGAATGATTTTAGAATAGTCG